CTCTTTCCTGGTTTACTGTATGTAGTTCTGTTTCTCCATCAATTCCTGACCATTTTTTCCCCCATTCTGCTTTATTTTGTCCTCCTTTTCCATCGCAGTTTACACGTTTTTCTGTGATTATCTCTCTCCTGCTTCCCCTCCTCCCCTTTTTTCACTCATCCTTCTCTCCTATATGCTTCCATCTTTGGAGTCTAAAAGCTTTAATAACTGCCTCATTTGACTGGAAAACAAGACAAGCTACTGAGGGGGGATTGGATGCTGGTGTGTTAACATGCCATCGTGCCCAGAGTTATAACTGAACACACCGCCTGCTCTGACTCTTGGGTAGAAAATAAATCTCCATTTAAAGCTCCATGGATTCAATTTCTGATCGAGCTAGAGATGCAGAGAGAGCAAACTGACTCCGAGTGCCGTTCTTTTTTGTCAGCACGATGTGCTCTGCAGTGGCTGACATTAGAACTGGGAGGAATTACTGCTTTTTTGCCATGCTTTCTTTCCTCATAAGTGAAGAATTGTTCCCCGTGGTACATTCCGAGCTATTTTCTCTCTCTGTACTCGTTAAGTTTGCTGGCAGATCAGCAGAGACCGAAAATCATCCCGTGGCTTGGGTGAACTGAAGTGGCCAAACTCTTAACGCTGACCTTCAAACAACTGTCAACAGCTGTTGCTTTCCTTGGCAGTTTTCAAAAGCAGCCCCTCACAAATGAGGTGAGATGGTGCAGGGGAGGCAGGCGGGGCTGCTGCTTGGGCCTTGAGCGCACCAAGAGGCTCTGCTGACTCTCCCCCTGCCCCAGGGCTTTGGCTGCCTGTGCTCACATCCAGCTCTGGTACGGCCCCACTGCTGGTTGCTTTGCTTATCCTGAAACTGTAAATGGCTTTGGAATACTCAGGCAATTCACTTGGGAACCAAAGAGATTTTGCCTGGGCTGCTTGTGTACCTGGTGAACAATCTGTCCTTTGGAAAAGGGGAAAAAAACAAGTTAGAGCAGAATATTCCTAGCTTTTCACGTTGTGCCTTTGGCGTTCTCCGTTTATAGCATTTTAGCTGTGCAAGCTGAATTTGTCCTTGAACTTGAATTGTTGTGAAGCATTGTAAGTTAGAACTGTTGCTTAACAGCAACATTAGACGATCAGTAATTATAACTTTGTATTTTAAATATGCATTTGAAAAATCTGATCTCTGCAATGGTTATGCAGTGAAACCACTGGATTAATTTCAGTGACATCATTTCAAATTTACAAAGATAATTCACCAGATAAGAATTCAATCTTTGGTCTGTTGTGAGGAATCACAAATCTGGTTATAATTTAAAGATTAAAGAATATTTTTGAAGACCTTTGAAGAGCTGTTTTGATTTGACAGCAGGAAATTATTCTGGCTTTTGATTACATGGTAAATATTATAAAACAGGCTTTTAAGTGGTTTCCTTGGCAACCACTCTTAGTTGGAGATTGGTGCTTGCCAGTATGCATCATGCTGTGTTTGGACAAGCTTTGCGACATTAAAAGACACTTGTTCAAACACTCCACAGTCATGCACAGCTCCTTGCTGCCCTGCAGCCCCAGGGCTGGAAGGGAAGCCTGCCGATTTCTTTCCAAGCAGGCAGTGCCACACCTCCCAGTCCTGAGCTAGCATAGGCTGCCCCATGGGTGGAGGAGCTGGCCCCACTCACTATTGGCTGCTGTCTCCATCCAGCAGCTGCCAGGAACGTGACAGGGTGTTTTTTTCTCATTCATATACCCCCTCTGAAAGAAAATGGTCATGGTTTGCACTTCCTTTTTAGAGAGGTGTCATGCACAGCTCTGCACTGAGCACTGCTCATATCCTTTTCTTGTCATCTGTCTCCAGTATCTGGGGCATCAGACAGTTCATACTTCAATCCCATATTGAATGTTTATGATCAACAGGAATATTAAGCCATTAGCAGGGTTAACGATGAAGTCTGTTGAAGTGCCATCAATATGCAGAAGCACCTTTCTCCCCTCCTTCAAAGCTTTACATTTATTTATTTATTCTGACTTGGATTGCCTTCCCTGTCTGCCGTGGATGCCTGAGCTTTAAGTCAGCTGTAGCAGAGCTGACCTCAGTGTCTTAAAGAAAACAAATGTTAGTCAGGTGAGAAATGTTATCCTAGCTGAGGGCATTCACCTGGCATGTGTTGTCAGTTTGAGAGCCTGAGCAGATGCCTGGTTACTGCTAGGAGCTTTTGGGGCAGGCTTTTCTCTATTTCTAGCTAGAAGGTAAGAGCTTTTTCTTACTTCCATAGAGTAACAAAGAATAAGAGCAATTTCCCCCTGCCTTTGTGTCTTTGCTACCTTCGGAGCTGACTGCTGTAAAGAGCTCTACGCGGGGCTTTTCTCTACAACTGTTCAGAGGCAGATCTAGCGTAGCATGTGAAAGCTGCCTGCCCTGCTCTCAGAGGGTGCCCTGCTCAGCACAGTGTGTTCTTCTGCTCTGGCCTGCCCAGGCTCCCAGGAGGCCACGGTTTCAGTGTGCTGTGGGAGATGCCAGATTTTACCAATAGAATCCCTTAATGGTTTAATCATCATGTTGCTTTGAGAGACAGGCCACTCCTCTGGCTTCTGTGCCAGAGCTAAAATTGGAGCAGGTATTCAAGAGGGAAGAAGAAGGAATGTGAGTGCCCTTGTCTTTGCGAGTCACTGTAGCGTTGATCTAAAATAGCCCATATTTGTTGACCTTCAGAGCCAGGTGGCAGTGTTTTTTTTTTTTTTTAGATGACTGAAAATAAAGTGGTAAAGTGGGTTAATCTCTGACAGCAATCTTTAAGGAGCAAGAGCATTCTTATACTTTATTTCTGTAGGCATACCTAACAACATTGCTCTGCAGATCAGCAGGGATAGCTTCTTTTCCTGGCCATGCTTTTTCTCCTGTAAGTCTTAAGAAAGAGGCTTTTTTAGGACTTACACCAAGAAAGAGTGGGAGAATATACAAATCCAGCTTTTTGACAGTGGTTCTGTTCTTTGTTCTTTGTATTCCTGGTTTTGAAGGTAGGCTAATGTAGAAATCAGTTTGCAGGTTACCCAGTCTGCTGCATTATTATACTTAATAGCAGTGTTTATTTCCAGTTAATGTTCTTCTCATCCTTGCTTAGCAAGGATGCAAGGTCTTTATAAATAGAACCACTGTCTGCTGTTGTGGAAAGTAGTACGACTACAGCCCAAGAACAAAAGAATAGTAGATATTCAGTTTTGTAAGTCTGTGCCTCTTCAGTAAGGCAAATACTGACTTTAAAATTTGTTTGTGCAAAACAAAAAGTACAGGTGCCAAATGCAAAAGGAAATACTGTAGCGTTATGTTATACTGTAGGTTATTGTATTAAGTCTTGCTTACATAAGTGAACCTAACAGGTCTTACTAAATTGTATAGAGTCTGACTCAAAGTGCACTGAACTTTATGAAAAACCTCGTGTTGATTCAACATGGGTTGCACTGGGCCCACAGAAGAGATGCATGTAGTAAAAATAATGTTCAGCATTAAACAAAAGCTTCAGCAGCTCTTTTTTTTTTTTCACTTGTCAGAGACTGTTTTCGGCATGAGAGCACTGCATAGAAATAACGTGAGGAAAAACACGTCAGCCACTTCATCTGTGTACAACATACACGATCTTTGCATGCTTTGCCATTTTCCTTCCGTGTGGGCCTATTAAAGTTAATGGGAATCTGAGGTGCGTAGTAGGTGCTGTGACTTTGCACTTGCAAACTATTTGCTGGTGTCGTCTTCCATTATTTTCTTGCACAGAAATGAAGGGTTGTGCCTAGTCCTAAAGCCTAGTGCTGAATTTTTAGATTATCATTACCTGATTATGTTTCTGTCCTATTTTGCTTGGTAATGTAAAAGAACGGAGGGTTGGCACTTACTGGAAGTCAGGTGGTTGACATAGAAAGTCCTTGAAAAAAGTACCATAATGACATGGAATTTTTCTCCTGCTCTTTGCAGTAAGCTTTACTCCTTGCCTGCCCCCTCAGCTGAACTGTTATTTTGCAAGTAGGAGGAAAAGGTTTTATTTTTTTGAAATATGTGCTTTCTGAGTTGAAGTCTGAGAAGCATTTGTTTTAATGCACCTTTGAACCACGGCAAAGGGGACACAAACTTGTAGTGTTTTTCATAAACATTTTTTAGAAGGAAGGGTGCTCTACTGTTTATAGCATTAGCATGGTCTTTTGTGAACCATTCCACGTGGCTTGGGCTGAAATTTTGTGTGTGTGGTGCTTAGACAAGGATTTGGCTCTGCATTAGTGTTCCATCTGGAGCAGATCTGATTTCAGTGATTCTTAACCCTTCCTCCAGCAGTTTCTCTCTACTCCCTATTACTCAATTTCTCTGGAGGTTACTGCTTCCTCAGTTGTATTGGGTGTCCTGACTGGAAGGATCCAGGTTTAGCTATCCAGACGTTATTCTGATTGTCTTAAAACTCAAATAGTTTAGTGTATGAACTGGATGATACTTCCTGGGAGACAGGTGGATGGGAACAAGCAGCTGGATGCACAGAAGTAAGGGTGCTGAGAACCTCCAGAACTGAGGGAACATTTATAGAGAATTGCTCTCTATACTGAGTAAGTTAAGATGCATGAGCTGTAATAATCACCCCTTTTTCTAGGCTATCAGAACTGTAAGGGAAAATAAATTAGCTGAAAACTCTTTCAGTGATGTAACCCAAGCCCATAGCTGAGTCCTTACATTACTTCCCTGCACGTCACAGCTTTGGTCTCTCAGCTTCTCATCTGTGACACGGGAGCAAGAGGACTTCTCAGCTTCAGGAGAGTGTTGTGAGGGCTAGGCAGGGGACACAGAGGTTGGTTAGCCTCATAAGGCTGAGCAGCCAGCGTGATACTGCGTTCCACATAGTTCCTTATGTTGTCAGCAGCATGTGTACCTAGCATTAAGCCTTAATGACATGTTAAGACCTCTTCCTTGCCACTCAATCTTCTTCAAGAACTGAGAAAGGTTAAAGGAGTGCCATGTCAAACACGTACCACTGCCCTCTGTTTGCGTTATGTGCTCTGACAGACAGTAGCATCCACATTTGTGTTGGTGCTCCCCTGGTTGGTGCCTACTGACACAAATCTGTTCCAGCCTTGTCCACCTCTGGCCAGACAGACAACACTTTCTTTTTAGAAAAAGATAGCGTCATGTGGAAAATACTGACAAAAATGAGCTGCGCTCATCCTGATAGATGACAGCAAGCAGGTACTAGATTATGATTTATTTGGAGCTGCCTCCTGTGCAGTGCCTAACACAGTGGTTTTCTAGGTCTCCTTAATGTTATGGTAATTTAGGTAATAAATAACAGCAGTATTTGTTCATGGGCTAATAAATTCATGAAAATATTTTGAAGCTGCAAGTATTTGCTAATGGCTGGGCAAAGTCTCTAAGCCCCATAAAATTAGCTGCCTTTCTGTGGAAACCCTTCACCATTTTCAGAAAGATCAATTTCATCTTCAAAACAGCTCTTCAGCTTCAGGTCCGTATTCTCCCCTGATGCAACAGAGCACAGGTCTGTTGAAATCGAGAGACCTGCATCCCCTTATCTCAGTGGTAAGTTAATTTTGTTTCTGCCTTTTCACCTAATCTCTTTAGCTGAAAGAAACTAATGATATTATCAGCCTTGGAAGCAAAAGGCCTGTTTAGATTTCACAGAACAGAGAGAGAAGAAAAAGGGATAATCATTTGCATTTAGCTTTGTTCAAGAACTGAAGGTGCCACAGTTACGCTGTTAAATGTCACGCTGCACTCATTCCACTCGCATCTACTCTCTTGAGCTGTATTAACTATTTAGGGTGATATTTAGAAGCATTATTTGAAATTTTGTCAAGACAAAGTGCCTGATAATTCAGAAAACAATTTTGAAAGGAGTTCCACATATGGAATAAGTTTAGAAGAAAACAAAAACGACGAATGGCTCATTTTTTGCTCTGCTGTGGCCGGAGCTGATGGAGCTCATCTGTGTGGGTTTTTTGTTTTGTTTGTTTGTTTTTCTTCTAGCTAAGAGAATGCCCATTTCAAGGAGGTAAGCACATCTCCATCCAGTCTTGGGCCTGTTGTATTCTAAGCCAGATGCAAGCCCAGGTGAAGACCAAAACCATAGAGGCTACCCAGCTGGTTGGGAAAAACTGCATAAACAACAATATTCATTCTCACAGGTCCTGGTTCCAAAATCCCTTAGTTGAACTGTTTGGCTGGTTCTGTCTCCGCCTTCCAGCTGAATCGTTTTGTGCAATTGTATCTATGCATGATTATGTCCTCTAGCTCACGTGGGATTTCAGGTTGCTCCCAGCATGCATGTAAGAAGTTTTTCTACACCACTGCGAATTGACTCTCCTCCAAATATGGCTTTTCTACATATTGAAATAAGCAAAAACAAGGCAACAAATAATATATGCATGCATGGGCTGCCCCACATCTAGGTAAGACCTTGCAAAGGTGGAAGATGCATTAAAGTGCAACCATTTAGTGAAACATGGCACTGTCATGCACATCTCGTGCATCTTGTTCAACTGTTAATTTGGTGCTTACATTTAGAGTTTGAGTCCACAAGCCGTGACTCTTCTTTGTGCGCTTCAGTGAGGAGTTAGTGACACTCAATACATTCTGTTTTTTCCACAGAACTTTTTTTATTGGGAAGTAGTCTCATAGCAATAAAATCAATGGGAATTTTCACATTGACGCCAATAAAACCTCTGGTGTAGAATTAAATCAGCTAATATGCTCCATGAAATAAAATATAACCTTTTCCTTTTCATCCTCCTCCCTTCTCTAGCCCTGTTTCCTTCCTCTCTGTAATATCCAGGCTCTGCTTCTATCTTAACAAATTTCAATTCTAAATCACAATGTGAACAGTAAATTAAATGCTAGAGTGTATGTTTACCAGTATGTTGCTTTAGGTCTTGGCTAAAACCACAGAGTCAGAGTGGAGGATCCTTTATGCATGCTGCAGTCTCCTTAAGCAGTCTTTGGGCAGCTGAAGAGACCCTGCAGTTCCCTGAAGCACCCGTGCTGGGATTGATGGCAAGTACTGCAGGCATGCAGGATGTGTGTGGATCCTGGGTCTTCATTCTGGGAAGCCAAGGCCAGAAGGGAAGCTGTGATGGTCACCAGGAAGATCCTATTCAAGGTATGTTCATTTATACCGTTGTCCGCCATTTATGCAAGATTTCTACCTGCTCTTCTTCACTGGCTCCTCTGGTCTCTTTTGCTTGGTCTTTGTACAGTCCGATGCCTCCACTTACTACTGCGGTCACAATGTATCTGTTTCGGAATTCAGTGTATTATTGCATGAACCTTTGGAAAAGCAGCAGTGTTAGAACTTCTTTCAACTAACTCTATTTAAATGGCATGTTATTACACACTGCTTATCACTTGGCCACATAGGAAGACTGTTTCCACAAACTACACTCAAAATATTTGACAAAGCCATAGAAACATTATCCTTATTTCTTACTGAAATTGCTGAAACATCCCACTAGAAACAATATGAGGGAGACAGAAATCAACCGGACACCAGCATGTCCTAGACAGTAGAATGTCATTTCATGCAGATGGTATAACACCATATATTCCTTTAATAAATATTTCAATGCTATAAGGCTGGAAAAAGAAATGGAAGGTTTCCCAGTACAACACAATATACCTCAGCAGCACTAAGTTTAATTTTATTTGGCTCAAATGAAATGTTATGCACTTAAGTAATTCTATAGTATCAGATCCCCATTGGGCATTTTCCCAATATATGTTAATTGGGAGGTCAGTTACAGACAGATATTCTAGCTCATGGGAGAGACCTTCAGAAGCTTTTTAAGCAAAATGTAAGGAGTAGCTGTAACACATTTGATAGCTGTATGTCTGTGCATACACCTAGATAAAATGGAATGTAGTCAAAAGAATATAGTATCCAGAAAGTGAAAGCACAAGCAGCTTCAAGAAATATCTGCAATATTATTTTGAAGTTAAAACTCACATACAAATCAGAAATTAAATTGAGGTATGTGTATATGTTTCACATCTCTGACAAATCTAAAATAGTATATTCCAGAAAGCTCTCATGCATGATAGTAAACTGTAGAACAGAAACAGAGAAACATGACCTTCAGCAACATTTTATGATGGCAATTTGTAAGTTAGTGTTTTGATTTATACCTTAATAGATTTAATTGCCAGACAGCAAGAAAACCTGTCTGTAGTGGTGTGCCAGCATATATCTGGAATAACTGGATTGCTGTGGAGATTTTTTTAGATCATATATATGGTTTTATTGCTACCCAGCAGGCTTGATCAGAGAAGAAGTTGCCTGTTGGTTCCTACCTCATGTCTTTTCTTGGGTGCTAAAGGAATAGGTTTGGCCAGGAAGGTGTGGTTGGGAGATTTACTTACAGTTGGTTCTCAGGAGCGAAGGGATTTCTGAGAAGCAGGCATAGAATTATACGTCCAGGACCACAGTAGCATCAAGTCAGCTTTTCATCACACTTCTCCCTACCTATTTACTGAGTGCTCCCCAGCTAGTCTGGAGACTGGTCTAGGCACAGGCACTTACAAGTGAGACTGCTACATCTACCTGTGCTCTGAGGGCAAAGCAATATTAGAGCCAGCCCCGGTTCATGCCTTTGGACAAAACCAGCTCATCAAGAGCCAGCCCCAGTTCATGCCTTTGGACAACACCAGCTCATCAGTCACCTGTTTACATAAGCTGCAATCTAAATAGTTTGACCTGTAGTTTATGGGAAGTTTCTCTTTAATTGAACACTGCCAGAAGAGTTCATTGTTTCCTGCAGCACCTGTTTTTCTTGTAACTGGAAGTTGTTAACCTTGGCCAAATTTCAAGTGGAGTAGCTGCATTCCTTTCTCTGATATTTCAAAGAGGAAGGTTATTTCTCACTCTTACAGAGAGAATTTATGCAGCAAAACGTTCCCAAGGCAAAATGTTGCAGCATTTCACCTTAAAAGAGACCGTGTGTCAATGTACCTTTCTTCTGATGCTCTCTGAATTTGGGAAAATCCACATGAATAACTACAAAGGACTTAATACCACTCTTTCTCTTTTGAACCATAGCTAGGAAAACATGTTGCCTAGAAATGAGCAAAGAAACCATTAGCAGCATAGTTTGAGAATTAACCTTGGAATTGCGGGATTACCTCTGTTGCAGGTAAATGCAGTTAGCTGGCTGCCCTCTCAAGCCATCTCACACGCCTCATTTACACTCCTAATTATCAGTTATCATCACTGTTCCCTGCCAAAATAAAATGCGATGTTTTGCTGTGATCAGCTAATCAGAACCAACGTGATCTTTGGTGCTCGACACCGCTGAAGAAAGCACTGCTTTTGCAAGTGTCCCCTGTTTGGGTATAAAATACACAAACAACGACTATGTAAATATGTATGCACACACACAGAGGCAGGTATGTGAGACTAAGGCTATGTATTTAGCTGTGTATACATGGCTCTCCCCCTGCTCCTAGAAAGAATACATAGCTATCTAGAAATTAATATTTAGTGACTTATCAATAAAAGTCACACTAAAAAGGTAACTGTATACCATGACAGACAAATATAATTTACTCAGATAGAAATCCTAGAGTAAATTTTGGGTGTATCCTTTAATCAAGGTCTGAGCAGGTTTGAGTCTGGCCATGTAGTGAATATTTGTGCATGGATATAGGCAAGGACAGACAAACCTCTACCAAGCAACATTTGCTTATAGTAGTTAGTAAATATACGAACTAGTTAATGCACTTTGCATGAAAAGCTAAGCTGTCTACACTGAGATCTTTATGGATTAAGCTTTGGAAGTGACTATTGGATCCTGTAAAATTTTACTCTTGCCTCCCTCAAAATAAGGAGAAAAGAAGATATATTTCACCTGGCCTAGAAAAATTCGATTGCTGAATCTCCAGATTTTTCTGGTAGAAAAAAACTATACTGAAATATTTGGCTAGCATTCATGGAAGGTGAATTTTAAATTTCAGTATTTTAAACATTCCTGTGGCAATTCCCATTCAGTGCAATTGCAAAATACAATATCAAGATATAGAAACAGTTTATGGTATAGATGTTCTTGCTTGCTTGGAGCAGGTCACTGCAAGGGTGGAGTGAGTAATCTTCTTTGCAAGCTGTGGATCTGGACATCTGTCAGTGGGGAGCGAAGACAAATAAGAGTGACATAAGTATAATAGCAGCAACATGTTGGTGAGGAACATAAATCGTGACAGGGTTCAGTCAGGAATACCAGTCTTAAATACAACCTGAAATATTAGAAGAGAAACACCATCTCTTTATGCTCCTATTATCCAAGCTTTCATTTTTATCTTAAAAGTGAAAAGTCACAGAAAAAATATTTTGTTTTCATAGCTCAACATTTTTAAAACCATTTTGTTTGGAAATGCAAGTAAAAGCTGATTTAGCAGACTACGATTTAAGCTGTTTCAGCCATGCAAGCAAGAGCTCTGAGGAACCTCTCCAGCCTGATGGCTCTTAGCTCTCCCAGCAATTTCCTCCCCTGCCTGCAGGGCTACAAGGTCCCTCCTGCCAGAAGCTAGGAGGAAAAGCAGTGTATAACACTAAGGGAAATGAAAGCAATGATTTCACAGCACAGGGCAACATGCCACTGAATGAGAAGGGACTAATATGCAGAAACTATCTATTACAACCCTGGAGGTGCTCACCTATCTGTTATCATACAACACTTTAGCAATGCTTGAAACCCTGCCATGCCAAATAACTTATTGAGTTCAAAAGCCCAACAGAAGCAATACGAACATTTGCTATTTACTCACAGTCCCTGCAGCTGATGAAAGCTGGAGATACACAGACTCAGGCCGTGCCAGAGGAGTAGTTTATTTTACTAAGTTAACTCAGGGTTCACAATGGAGTCAGACCCCCTACTAGTTCAATTTAGATCCGTCCCAGATTATTGCACATACCAAGTTTAAATGTATTTGTTTTCAACCATAGAATAACAGCATTTAAGCTATGAATGTAGTTTAAGAATAAGATATAATCTTGATCCTTGCTGAAGTTGGTCAGAGAATATTTGAAGCCAAAAGTTCCGTGACAGAACAAAAACAAAGAGCACCCTGAGCCTAAACTAAAGGGTTTGTGAGCATTTGCAGCTCCTACAGACCCTGGGCAGTAGGAAGAACTCAGGCTGAGACAGTAAATAGGCTGCAGTTTTTCTAATGTCATTTCCTTGAGTCATGTTAGTAACCTCCCTTCTCCCCAAAAACCTATCCACATTTGTAAAGCTGTCTGTATAGGCAAGTCTTAGCCAGTTCCATTGGAAGTGAAAGATTTTTTTGTAAGCGTTCTTCACTGAGGAAAGTCCTTTGTGTTTTACTACTAGTCAGCAGGACTAGCACTGACAGCAGTAGTTCCAAGACATCTCTGCCTGCCCATCTCCCTTACTCACCCAGTGAAAATCCAAAGGACACATTAAACAACCTTGGACTCCAGTGCAGAAATAAGTCATGTAATACCACTTATTTAGCTGGCATGCAGCTTGTGTTAAGATTCATGTTACACTGATTCATATTAGAAAATTCATTTTATTGAAAATACTGGGTGAATGCAAACTCCACACAGGGAAAAAAAAGCACAAAGCATAAGCACCAGAGTCCTGCTGAGACTTCCTGCAGTTTAAGGGTTTTCTTGCTGTAGTGTGAATTACCCTACTAGGGGTAGGATTTCCACCATCAGCAGCTGCAGTAGAGATTGGCTACATACATGGTGCCATAGAATCCAACAGTTAAATTTGGATTTGGAAAAGCCATTTTTAATTTCTTGCTCCAATTTGATCTCCTAGGGTAATCCCAAGGACCAGCTGAATGAGTGGTGTTCCCCCCAGGCAGGAGCCTTGAGGTAAAGGTCCAGATGCAACTGCCTTTAAGCAGCAGTGTCCCTCTGAAGGGCAGACCCAGGAAGGAAGCAGCACTGAAGAAGGAACCTGGGCAGGATTCCTTGGTTTAGAACAAGTTTTTCCACAAGACAAGGGTTTGGCACTTGGTTCTCTCCCAGCAGAGCTTAGGTTCCCAGAATATCCCGTTCCCGAACACCACCACTTCAGCAAAACATATGCTTCACTTATCCATCTGTAGAAGGAGAATCATTAGTGTTTCCTGCTTCCCCCGCGTATCATAAAGATGGCTATTAGAGACTATAAGAAACACTAACTGGAATACCCAAGTACAGTAGGCAGGCCACTTCACACTACCCAATTTGGGACCCCTGTGATCCAGTCATATGGAGGTAAACAGAAAAAGCCAGATAGACTTAAGACATATTGAAAAATCCTGAGAGCAAGCTGAAAAGGGAGTTAGCAGGCAAACATGTATAGCTATGGGAATTACAGGCCAATTGCTGTTTCTTCCCTATGTGAGACTGATTTGAGGCACTTACTGTTTCTACTCATAGAATTCCTGTGCAGATGGGAGGTGCATGGCTTTCAACACTGCTGTTTACTTCTCAGCTAAAACTGGTTTCATTTCTTTCAGTTTTACAAGCTTGTGGACATGTGGTGGTATGTCCTCACCTGCTGTGTCACTGCAGTAACACCTGCTGCCTTTCAGTAACAGCAGAAACATCTGACCTTCAATAGCAGAGCTTTCCCAGCACCATCTACTAGGTCCTTGGACCACTTGTTGGTAAGTGTCTTACCTAGTGAGGGAATCAATTGGCTGTGTACCTCTGGCAGAGCTGGTCTCCAAAAGAGCCTTTCTTGCACATCCCAAACAGTTGGGCTTTGGGTTTTCAAAGAGGATTACTTGTTTGGTGCTTGGGACCAGAGTTCCTGAGATATTTTGATGTAATGTTTTCCTTTGTAAGAGTCCAGTATTTATTTCCTTCAAAGCTGCTGGAAAAGCTGCAAGTGTTTCCAGAGGGTAGTCAGACTATGGATTTCTTCTCAGCATAATCACCAACTGCATAAACCACAAGACATTAGTCTAACTTCAGATACTACTGCTCCACGTTAGAGAAGGAGTTTAAATATATTACAAAGGTAAAAAAAGACCTAGCTCAAACCCTTTCATTTCGCATTCTAACAACCTGCTGCTTTGTGTGTCACAGGATCCACAATTCCTGGACCAAAACTTAAGTATTGCTAATAAAAAGATCACAAAAATCCCTTTAATAGTAAAATCTTTCTGACAGGAAAGAAATGGGTATGTTAATTGTGTATGTTAAGACAAGTTCATTGTGTTATACACTTCCCATTGGATTTTTACCTTAGTTTTTACAGGTTACACAGACAGCTTTTTTCTGTCTCCTCACAGAAGAATTGAATGTCTTTCTAAAAGAAAGATTTTAATCAAATTGAAGTTGGTGGACTCAATACAGTCCAAATCCAACCTGCATTGTACAGTTTTTTGGGTCCATGCTGAATAATCAATAACTTAAGAGGGTGCCTGTTTTAGGCAGACAGTGGGAGAGAGTTTAACTTCAACTTAGTTATGAAAAGAAAAGCCTTTCAACATTCGGTGTTCTTAGCCCATGTGCCTCTTAAATAGGAAACTTATTCCTGATCTATATTTCTTGATCTGTTTTTAATGTGAGGTTGCATTCCCTTCATTAAACCAAATGAAGGAATCAGTAATGTGATATGCCCTGTAGAGAGGACTGCTCTCTGGAAAGAGATCCAAAATGCTGTGATGGGAATTTAGGCAAATAGCATGTGGTATGCTGATGTTTAATCACATAGCCATTTTAAAATTAAAAAGCCTCACTGGGCAAATGAAGTCTAACCACATAAGTGGGGTTGATTGCTCAGGCATTGGTGTATCACATCAGCTCTGGATTCTTGTTGTCAACAGCCTAAAGATCCCCTTTTAAAGTTTCCTTGACTGGTTCAAATTGTACTTGGTTTATAAACAGACTTGGAGGGAAAGGGAGAGACTGTGCACCTGCTTTTGATTGTTCACCAGATTACACAAACAGGCTCACAGCAGAAAAAACTCCAGGAAGAAAACATGCCAGAGTCATCAGCTTTCAAGATAAATTACTCCATAGTTGTGAACCTGGCTAAATTTTAAATCTTTAGATTAAAGAGACTTCCCAACATGAAAGAGGGACACTTGACTGTGCACAGACTCGCTGAGATTTGACTGCTACAGATTGCTAATAGATACCCTCAGCCATTAAGAGGCTAAACTAGCACTGGTATCTATCAAGATTAGTTCTTCTCTTTTGTAGGTTAAAGAGTATTTCTCTGGACTCCAGCCCTAAAACCATCCTTTGTGTGTAAGGAGGACAGAATACCATGCCAAGCCTGAAAAAAAAAGAGTCCTCTTCCAGTCTCAGCCCCCCTGCATAGCTGTATTTCTATAATGCATATGAAACAAGCCCTCCTTTGAAGGCTTAAAAAGGAGGGCTGAAGTAGCAGGTAAGCACTTTATTAGTTTTATACATAATTGTGAAACTGCAGCACAAGGATTGAAGGCTGTAGGAGAGAATCCTATTAATTGTTCTTTATCTATACTTAGCTGGAAGTTTGTGCTTCACTTTCAGGCTAAGACAGGTTTATGAAAGGTTTGTTTGGTGCAGAAGCTTGTCTAGTCCCACCCTACACTGCAGCCCAGCAGGTAAACTACCTCTGAGCCTCATGCCACAGCTCCATATTTAATCCCCAGCACAGGCAACCCCTGCGTTAACTAGTCCTCCCATTCTGCTCTAGTTCTTGCCAGTCCCAGTCCTCCATAATTGAGAGGGAAAATGATGGAAGCCCAGGTATGAACAAAACACATTGTCCTGCTCTGCTTCCAAGAGTCCACCCCTCTTCAGCCCTTTGTCTCCACTTGCTTCCCGTACCAATATGCAAATCCCCCTACCAGGTCCTCCATCACCACATAGTCACCTCCCCAAAGCTGAGGTCCTTTAAGCCTCTCCCTCCTATTGCACACCTCATCTTACCAAACTAAAACTGCAGTCTCCTGCTCACTGTGTACTTACAACTCCTTGGTGCCTGCCCCAGTGATGCTTGTTTTCTGTTCTTACTCAGAAGCACAGGTCCCACCGTGGCATTCAATAGAGGCCTAAGGGCAAGCACAGAACTACATCACCCAGAAAAAAGCCACTTGAAGATCAATTGCATGCAGCCTTCTATGTGCAGGTTCCCTGGTACACAAGGCACATGTAGGGCCTGCATCCTAATGGAGCTGTCTCACCACACAGCAGCTGGCTCAGAGACAGGAATCAGTTAGGGTGAGCTCAGAAGTTGCTTGGACTGCACATCTTGGTCCACTCAATTAAGGGAAGAAAGTGATAGAGAACAAGACTGCTCAATGAGTAAAAGAGGACAAATGTGACAGAGGTCCTACAGTATTATGATGTACTTCTGCAACAGATCATCAGCTTCAGATTATATAGCACTTGGTGACAATATGCTAGTACCAATAGGAATTTTTCTAGTGACATGTATGGGAAATCAATTAAGGCCATAAGTTGTGTTGCATATATCAGCAATTACCATATAAGAACAGCATTTAGCCCTGTAATGCTTGTTTACCACACTTAGGTGTTGTGGAGTAAGAGAAACTGCCAAAGAGTTGGCTTTTTTGGTATACATACCTACTATGCCAGAGCAAGTTCAGGGGTTTGTTACGGCAGGACAAAGAGCAGCACACTGATGTTTCTTTCTGAGAAACTGGGTTGTTTGTTTTATTTCTCTCAAAGCCATTCACCAAAACAAGCTGCTGCATACTTTAAGTATGCAACCATTGCAGAACTGTAAGTGACTGAAGGCATTTTGTTCCTTTTGCCTTCCAACCTCAACTTTGGGTCCTTAAGCCTCCTCTGCAATGCCATTTCATCTCCTCCTTGGTGACAGATGTCATTGTCCTTTGTGGGAAGCCGAAGTAGGCTGCGTGTGTCTGTTTCCATTAATAACACACTGCAGAGCATCAGTGTTTTAAGAATTGAAAAGTCTATGCTCCACAGATGCTAATGGATTGTATGGCAGGGCATCCTCTATGTATTTCATGATATTAATGGAAGTAGCATTACAGAGCCAAAGGGACATGAAGTGAGAAGTTTCATCTCTATTACTAGATGCTGTTGATATGTCATTTGTTGATTTGGTTTGCTCCTTACCTCCCACCCCAAGGCTTCTTGAATTACTTTCCAAAATTAGTGCAGAACAATTTGGAGGCTGTTTTGATTTACATTCTCACTGTTAGGGGCTGGTTTCTAATACCCTTCTTCACACAGGTAGCAGTGCTGGTATTCAGGGAAGTCAGCAGCTAGAATAAAGGGAATTCTTTGTCTAACAGTTTTCCATCCATCAACCATCTGGCAGCTACTAAGGCTTATTCTCCATTTTATCACCACAATGTGTGCCTTTCCAAATGGACATTTTCCCTCTTCACCTTTCCCCACAGCTGTGTACATATAGACAGAAAGACTATGAGCAATTTTCAGTTAGATATATGCAGTTTGAAGAGTTTACTACCAGTAGTCTTGATTGGCACTTAATCTCTATGTTAGAAGGCCAAAAAAAACTATATGCAGTACAGTTCATTAAAAACCATATCTGTAAGTAGACTATTTTGTTAGCTCTACAAAAGCATTTACTCACAGTAAATGTGAGAGCAAGCAATTAATGCAAGCACACCACCCAGCCTGAACAATTCAAGCTTGTAGGTCCCAGAGCGGACTCTTCTCTTGGAGAATTATAGAAGGTTAGCTATTGAATAAGTAAAGTTGTCAGTGACGTTTGTTGCACAAACTTGACTTTCCTTACTTTTTCCAGGAGTACAGGAGTTACTTTAAGTGAACACTAACATAACAGGTTTCATCTTCATTATCCTCTGGAAGTGAGCACAAATGGGCATGGGCTCTGACCTTGGGCTAGCAATGCCCAAGAACAGGCACCAAATTCACATCCTTTGGAAATAAGATTAGGAACATCTGCACTGTGCCAGAACTTTGGGCTTACATCTTCTCCACCATAACCTTGTCTCATTCTGATCTCCCAGTGATGGTTTTACTAAGAAGCAGGGCTGATCCAGCAGGGGAACGCACTAGGAGCTGAAGGGGACCACAGCACAGGCAGTGCCCTCACAGACTAAGGAGCAGTTCTGCAGGAGCTGAGCAGGGCAGACAGCTAACTGCCAGTAGCAGGGTCAATCAGCCTTCCCAGACCAGGCAAGGGGAAGGACCAAGTCCAGGGTGCATCCAGGAAGTCCAGCCAGAAGCACTAGGAGACAGGTTGGAAGGTACACTACCTGCAATAGAGGTCTAAGATCCATCCCAGAAGCCAGCAGCTGTGTCAGGGCCCTGAGAGCACCAATAGGCCTTAATTGCCCCAAGTAGCCTCACCTGAGGCCTCCACTCACACCCCCTGCCCAGGGGCTCTATTTAAGCCCAGTCCTGGGCCTTCAGTCCCTCCCTGAGCTACATCATAGGGGTGCCTATCCCTGTTCTGGAGTTCTCCAGTCCAAGGTTAAACCAGGAAATCTGAACCTGTTACCTTGCTTTTGCCTGATCATCACTAGGCTGCTGACAGGACCAGCTGCCATCACCACCCTGCTCACCTGCCTCTGGTACCCTGGGACTGCACCCTGTCAGGGAGGTCACTGCCTAGCCTGTATCTCAGCCACCATTGGCTCCCTGCTCACCTTCACTTGGAGAGCAGCCCCACTCCTGGACAGGCTGGAATGTAGCTACCCACAACTTTGGTCTGACGTCTATCCCAGGAAGCAAGGCTGGAGACACACTACCTGCAATGCAGGTCCACGGTCCACTCCAGGAGAAAGATCTGAAGTTCATCTTAGGAAAGAAGGGCTGAAGTGAGATACACCTACAACATAGCACAGGTAACAAGTAGGGCCCAGGCCTGAGCTTAAATAAGGCTCCTGGACCAATGGGCAGAGAGGGTGTGGGGTGGTCCCAGGTGAGGCTGGTCAGAGTCATTAAGGTGTCCTCAGGGTGCTGACATTGAGATGATGAGGAATAACGTTTGGAGTGGTTGATATGGAGAAGTTATGAAGAGCTGGCAAACACAGGAATAAAGAGAGAGAAGCTGATAACAGGTATATATTTTGGGGCCAAGCCTCTGGAGAGCTATGTGAACCAACACTGATTTCTGCTGTCTTCAGGGACGGGCACCATTTCAAAGGAGAAACTAAGCACTGTGCCAGACAAGGCTCTGTTAATTTGTTGTCACATGTCTTGTTTGATTGTTGTCTGTGACCTTTAATTTCATTTCCAGTCTAAAGGGAGGTTAATGAAAGCACAAATGTCCAGTGAGCATATTAGTCCTAGGTTGCAGCTGAGCACCCAGCAGACATTTGTACAGTTGAAATACCTCCTGTGGGAGCTGAAGCACACTGTATCTCCTAAGGACTGGGTGCCAAGAAGCAGAAATGGCCCCTTTGAAATGATCAGGACTACTTGTAGGCTTGCTGGACTGGTTGTGCAGTGAAGTTGTTGGGACGTTGTTTAGCCCTTATTTCTTTTTGGACCCCTCACGCTTTGTTCCCTCGTTCTGTGGTAAGTCAGCTGTGGTCCAGCAATCTGCTCTGCGCCTCGAGCCTTGTGCCCACCTTGTGCACGGATCCCTGTGGTGATGTGGATCCCCAGTAAGATCCCCGAGGCACTGCAGAATTCAGCGTGTTGCAGCAGCACAGGTATAAATTCCTGCCAAACCTCCTCCAGACGTTGCTCTCACGTGCCTCTCCCCGACCTAGTTTCCAAATGCTATTCCTTGGTCCCTCTAGCACATACCCACCTCTCTTGAAGCAGCTTACTCATGAGACAGATGAGGTGAAACAGATGAGCAGCAGATAGTTTAACCAATTTTATCTGAGGTTGTGAAATAAGTGGCTCTTCAGGACGTGCATATGGAAACGCATTGTAAGGCAATGGATTATTTCATATGCTGCCTTCTGAAGCACCTGTCGCTGTGCAGCATAGAGAAAGGTGAAGTCTTGCCCCAAGAAGGTGTTCTGTAATTCCCCCTGGGAAATCAGGACAGAAGTCTAATTGCATTATCTTTGGTGTGGGAACTTCTGGAAGCAGCAAAATCTCATAGAAAGGTGATTTTTCAGCCACTTGGAGACATCATCTAATGTTTTTAACGTTCTTCAGTCATAGCATTCTTTTTCAAAAGAAGAAAATTAGAATGCTTAAATCAAAGCTAGCTAGGAAAAGAGTTCCTTCTTCGCTGATTTTTTTCCCATGTCTTGACCATCCTGGTGTTAGTTTTGTTCTATTGTTTTTCTCTTTCAAGACAAGTTTTGCTAAGGACAGTCTCTTGGTAATACTGGTACTTGCAGACGCTAGTGTTTGTTTAACTTGGGCTGATAATACACCGGCAGCTTACAGGATTCTGCGAGTACCAAACTCTTTACAAGCTTCAGGTCAGCCATGGAGCACTTCC